CGCAATTGTCGCCTATAATGATCGAAACGATCGATTCAGAGTCCGATGGACCGGTTATGATGAGTCGGGTGACACTTGGGAACCAGGGCGTAATTTGCCTTTCAACTCCGTTGTCCGCTATTTCCGCCGACGGGGCCGGCAGGTTCCAGAACACCTTCGCCATCTTCTGGCTACGACACATTAGTCAAAAAAAAGAAGTCCTGGTATCCCAAAGCCTTTTACAAAAATGGCTTTGGCAAATGTCGGATGGAACAGTCGAGAAAATAGGAGAAGGTCAAGAAAAGGGGCTGTCTAGAATTTATTCAGTCGTGAGATCGATAACCGGCTCAGGCAAGGCGTGCGCCGGTTCAACAGAGACGTACGTCGTGCGGGGAATCTGGAGAGGGGGAATGCCTTGCGAAATATCAATCTCGATATCCACAGGCGCATCCAGATCTTTGATCTCCTCCCTGCTCGCCGGGTGTGAGGGACAGGCTGTCACAAGGCTGCCCAAACCGCTACTGCGCAATAGGGTTTCAATTACGTCGACCACACCACTGGCAGATGATGGCAGTGCGATACCGACAGATGCCATCCTCGGCTGCAAGCCCCGCTCGACGAGCAGTGATCTAATCTGTGAAATGCCACTCTCTACAGTGCCAGTATGGCCATCCAGAGGAGTCGATGAGGATGGTTCGCGTGCTTCAACCGACGCCGGTGCTGTCCTGTTGTGATGTTCCACACCCCGGCGATTCTTTCTCTCCCGTCTGCTGTTATTACTCGCATCCTCACGAACGCACTCCCATGGTGCCAGGACCGGATTTGGCACGCAGTGGTTAAGAAAACCCGTATGCAACAAGCCTGTAGATGGCATTGGTTCGCATGGACGTCCGTCAAAATCTTCTTGGATGTACATCGCATCCGGCATTTGTGTTGCCCATCGTTGCGCGTCGAACTCCACATAATCACCCGAGTCATACACCGGGGTACCGTAATGGTTATACTTCGGAACCTTTCCGTTACACCGCCACACGCGGTCCCATCGGATGACTTCCATTTCGTGAAGGAGTGCATCTAACTCAACCATGTGGTCATCGTGACCAAAACAAATGGCATCAACGCCAACTCTGCGAATTGCCGCAATTAAGGAAGGGGAAAACCGCGGCAAACGGCCTTGTCGGGCTGCATGGATGGCCCCGTTGCCGCGAGCCAAGCAAACTCTGTGTAGAAAATTTTCCCGAGGCAATCGTCAAGGCTTGCAACTGCCAAGTCGATTCCCAAATACGTCACGACAGGTGGCGTGCCGACCGGCACCCATAGAGGAACCTCCAACCTCTCCCAACCTCTCGGGACCCGCGGCCATCGTTGCCTCACAACCTCCAGTCGCAGACCAAAAATCTCTCGATGCTGCACAGCGGCGAACACGCCAAACCGGTGTCGTGATGAACGTTCCCACCGACGCCACGATTCAGGCATATATTTGTGACGACCGTCGACATGATCGCCCTGGGGGTTGTCATAGAAGGGCCAATGCGTTGGGTGGATCAGCGATGCCTTCGCAAACAAGCAGCGACGATCGAACTGCTCCGCATCGTCGAAGAAACCGATCGTCGCTCGGGCAGCTGCCAACGCACGGCAATATGCCAGTTCACGTCCGTATCGGGCGAACGCCACATCAAACTGCCAGTCGGGCGGCAGAGCGTCGTCGTAGAAGCTGTAGTCGAAGCGTTGATTGACCATGGCCTGCGGTGTCCAATTTCTTGGCAGGCGGTTCGCCGATCTCCAGTTCTCGGGTGCGCTGTCACATTGCCAACGGAAGTCCCGCTGCTCGAAGACTTCGCGCAGTACCGCGTGGCCCCGGAGCCACACGAAATTGCCCACCTCGGCGGCAGAGCCCTTGCGCATGAAATCGGCCATCCGGCTTGGGCGCAAGCGCACCCAACGTCACGCAGACAAAAAAAAAGAGGAAGGAGATCGATGTCAGAATCAAGTGCAGTGCCGGGACGGCTTCGGTTTGGGCGGGGGGCCGTGTGGTATCACAGCCCAGATTTGTAATTTGTACGGCACCCGCCGCCGCGGGTGCCTTACAGGCGGACGGACTACACGTGTGCATTACACGCGCACGCGCACGCTCACACGGGCATTACAGGCGGACGCCTACACGTGTGCCTTACAGGCGGACGGACTACACGTGGGCATTACAGGCCGATGGACTACACGGGTGCCTTACAGGCGGAAGATCTACTGTATACGTTACAGCCCGGAGGTTGTATATGATAAGGTACCGTAGTAATGGCACAGTACAGTGCATTACAGAATAGAGTACAGTAGTACAGTAGGACGGACAATGTCCAAGACCCCGCGACCTCGCTTATTTAAGCGACGGCGACGGGCAATGACAGTAAACAGTCAAGGATCTTTTGGGAACGGATTTCCTTCGACGGTGCGACACCGCGGGTCAAGACAAGCCTCTGACTTAGGCGACATTGTCGGCATCTGTCTTGCGACGTTTCCCTGGCTTCTATTGCCTTTACTTTACCTTTTCCATTCCTCCGTCTTTGCGACCACGCGGGCTAAGACTGGCCTCTAGCCTGGGCGTATTACTGTCGCACGACCTATTTCTCTCTCCCTGCATTGTGACGATTGTCAAGTCGCGGGCTACGACAAGCCTCTGGCCTTGGCGGCACTATTGACATCTGTCCCGCTCGTTCCCTCTAGGAGTTTCCGCTACTCGGCGCTCCGCCCGTGTCTGACACTAGTCTTTAGGCTCGGGTTCACCCCTGTTTTGTGTGTTCTTACACCACCCCTTCCAGTGCTGGTCCCATTCCGGGTCCGCACTTCGACCAGTACGTCGTGCTTTTACAGTCGGCCGACGTACTTCCCCTTTGCTCTACCACAGTCCCGATCTACCGCGGGACACCCCCTATTGGTTGTTACCTCTTCCTCGAGCTAGCTCATAGCTGGCGACCGCCACTATACTACACCCTGAACCGTCGACACTGACGTGGTCAGTGTGCAGAGACCATTTGGGGTGAGCAGAGAGCACCCTCCAAGCCAGGAAGAGCGGCCACTGATGGCGGTCAAAGCTCTTGTTCTCGTAGTCCATTAGTCTCGCCCTCCCTAACAGAATCGCGACGGCCATTGCCTCGTTCTCCCCGTCTGTTGTTCCGGTTGGAGCAGAGGCCAACACTCTTCGCATGCAGGACTTGAACTTTGAACACCCAGCGGATATTTCAAACCAGTGTTGGCGAACCGCCGTCTCAGCCCTGTGGCTGTAGCGCCCGCTGGGGACGCTAGATGAAGTTGATGCACCATACTCTGCGAAGCGTTTCATTACGCCCTTGTAGAATACGGTGGCCTTTTGATCCGTCCCGTGAATCGGGTCGCACGATGTTGCAATCCAGCTTTTAGCTAGATGCTGGTTCTCCTCAGCGCTCCACGCTCGCCCACGCCCCATATTTAGACACACTCTTCTCACCTCTACGCCGTGGCCCCCCCCGCTTTCATTGCGCACACCTGCACCCCCTTGACCCATGTTGTACTGTAATCGCCCAACGAAAAGCGCGCGAGACGCGGAAGGCGCAGGAAACGCGGGAGACGCGGAAAACGCGGGAGACGCGGAAAACGCGGGAGACGCGGAAAGCGCGCCGGCGGGAAACACAAGTTGCGCACTCTCACGGGCACGCACTGTTGCACACTCCCCGAAGTTCTTCCAGGTGTTCTGCACAAAGAAGGCGCGCGCGATGGCCAATGAACAACATACAGAATGCACACGGGCTGTACAGAATGCACACGTGGGTATCTATTGCCAGTCTCTATTCGACCAATAGACTCCAAACTGACTCTAAATTTCCAGAATATAGAGTCAGTTCACTATCTAATCTAAAGGATTCTCTAACCGTTTAGATTAGATTTGTGCGGTAATGTTGCACAAAATCCGTAACCAGAATTTTGGGCTTATCATACCTCAATAGAGATAGAAAATCTTCCGCGGTGGGGATGGCCTAATATTATTACCGTAGATAGCGTTTGCCCAAGGGACCAGTTGAATTCATATGCGAATCGGAATGAAATGGAAATTGGAAATGTGGGTCACCGGGGCTCAACGAGATCTTTCGAAATATCTCAACGTGGGCCGGTTGCCGGACACAGCCGGGCCGTTTCGGTCCTTAATGTTTTGTTACACATATTGCGTTGCGCGTACTTCGTTTCCTTTTCAGGGGACCGCGAGGTCTGGTGAGAACACTGGAGGGCCCCTTGCGACATTACACATAACCTTCACGTTTCGTGCACTTTGCAGATGTAACACTTAGAGAGGAGCCGCCATGAAAGTACGGCCTTCTTTCAGGTGCAAAAGGCAGCTGTGCAATTTTCAACAGAGACCGCTTTGAGGAACGCATGAGGAAGATAGCTTATATCAGCGCGGCGTTGATCATTCTGAGACGTAGTGCGCTGTATGGACGCAGCAATATCCGCTAAGCTCTAGAGAAGGCATTGCACAGTATTCTCAACTGAAAATTTCTGAGGGATCAGAGGCAGGGGGAGATAAGGGTTAAGTATCTTCTCAGGATCAGAACCTCAAACCGCAATGCGAATTCTAACTGCGCTAAGTAAGTGCAAATCTGTGAATATTACCTCCTACGTTGAAATAAGCAAGGGTTCAAGATCACTGTCCATCGAGTGGAGTATGGCAAGAATCGGAGTGAATTATAATAGAAATGACAAGATCAAGGATGGCCGTCCGAAAATATCAATCGAACGCTAATGAAGCCCTGAGCATGTTTCACCACTTTATTTTCTGTGGCATGAGCTTCCAGAGAACAGATGAAGGGCGGCTTTTGAGCCTTGCGAAACGCAACAACATACATTTTAGACGGCCATTCTTCTTCGCGAAGATTGGTCGAGGTTGTTCCCAGAGTTTCCTCTCTCGCAAGAAGGAGATTCAGTCTCAGGAGTGGACAAGTGAAGAGTTGGAGGCGATGTTAATCGGTCTGGTGGGAAGGGATGTGGAGGAAAGAATGATGACCGCCTCTGTGAAGAGGAGGTGTTCGTACCGAACTTCCATCCCATCGGCTCGCCCTCAACATCTTTCCCGCTTGTACTCTCCCGAAAATCCTGTGTGTCACTGTGACGATATTCCCACGACCCCAGACACTACTCTAGTAGCACGAGAAATATAGCAGATGTTTGCAGCGGTGGAGCTCATCATCCTGTCCTGCGGGGAGCAGCCATGCCTGTTTCGAAAGGATGCCACCCAGCGTGAGACACTCGAAATGATTGGGTTTCCATTCCACTTTAAATTATTTTTTCTGTACGAGGCTACTAAGTTTTTGAGATGGTTCATGTGAACTGTGAACAGATCATCTTCGTGTTCATTGCACCGCCCAGCAACCGTCTCTGTCTTCCGTCGCCTGCACATCTGCGTCAACGCAGACCCCATCTCATCTGAAGTTCATTGTCATTCCCTCAGATCGATCGCCTGCGTTGGCGATTTCCCCTCATGGATGCTCTACGGGCCAACCTGTCAAAGCTATCCACAGCCCTTCCCGAGCTCGACAATACCCCGGACTTTCACTCGTGCCCCATCGCTCTCGTCGGCCCAAACTTACTAGCGGTGCTATCGTATCCCTCCAAACTCTATCTCCTTTCGCTTCACCATGTCCAACGCTCACCAGCTTCTGCCCTTGTCGCCACTATCTCGCTCCCCGCCGACGAAACCTACACCGATCTCCTCCCAGCCGAAGGCATGCTCGCCATCCACGGCCCTTCCTCCATCTGCATTCTCGACTGTGTATCACCCTCCGCGTTTTCTAATCCATCTCCTCTGCGCACTGTTGCCGCCCCACTCTTCGCGGAACGCCCGGATCTGCGCGTCCTCTGTGTCGCTTGGTCTCCTGCCGCCCCGGGCTTCCTCATGACCCTTACCTCCGACTGCTGCTTGCGTTTGTATGATGTGCTGACCGCAGGAAATGTCGACATTGAGCGATGGAGATTACGTGCCGTCACGCCCGCGGCGCCTCCTATTGCATTTGCTTTCGGACGCGGGCCGGGATGGGACGCCCTTAGCGTCTACGTCCTGGGCGAAGAAGGAAAAATTCACGTCGCAGCGCCTATCGCTCCAATTGGTACCAGGTTGGCTATTAACGTCTGGAATCGAATGCGAGTGGAGGTGCGCGCTGTTATAGAACGGGAGACGGTCGAGCGTTCACCAAAGAAGGACAAGACAAAGGCTGTCGGAAAGCCTGATCCCTTTGGACAAGTTCTTGGAGCGAGAACACCGCAAACAACTCGCAAGCTGCTAGACTTTTCAGGAGAGGGGGAGGAAGAGGCCAATGGTTTCGCAGGGGATGAAAGCGATGAGGACGCAGGTGCTGATTATGAAGAGTCATGGGCGCTCAAGCAGGCACATATGCAGCGACGTTTTCTGGAACATGTGTTTGCGCCCACGGCAGATGGTGATATGGTTGCTGTTCGCGAGTTTAAGCCCGCACCATTGTTGTTTCAAGGTCCGTTATACACTGAGCATGAGGACTTGGACGATGCATCGCATCCCGTGGATGCGTCAAACGAAAGTTCATTTGTATCGCTCAAACTCTTGCGTTGCGGAGCGAACCGTCCTCCCGTGCTGTTAAGAGCTACTCGAGGTGGGGATGTTTCAGTTTTAATTGGAATGGAGAATGTTGAGGCGCAATGGTTCATCACCTCCGATCCACACTCGACTAGCTCGGAGGAATTGCTTGAGACCAACGAAGATTACGCCGAATGTGCGAGAACCGTGGCCCCATCATTGCTTTGCTTTGAACATTTCCGCTTTGACATGCCTGTAAAACTGGTTCCTGTTGGGCAGAAGACAGATGCTGATGCTCTTTACGCAGTCACACGGTATACTGTTTTCTCCGTGCGCTTGTCCTTCATTTCTGCTCTGGCAGATGCAGCAACGCTGGAGTCAACCCCGAGAAGCTTGGTCTCTCAGATACTTTCAGTGTGGAAACCTGGATTGGCTACCGACCGTCCTGAAAAGGAGCACACTGTGCTAGGTCTGACACCGTTTTTCGCTCGAGGCGAGGGTCCAGTTGCTCTTGTGCTCTGCTCAAACGGCACACTGCACGCATCTGATCCATTAACATGGATGAATGACTTTGAAAAAGTATGCCCGGGTTCCTTGCTCGGACCAGAGCTTGACTCGGAGGTCACATGGGGCAACTCGCGCCCGTTTACAGGAAGGGCAGCATTTGCGTTCCCTGACTCTGGTAAGGAGATGATGGAAATACTTCATCGTATCCAGACTCTCCAAGGCACCAGTGGCGGCAGAGTAACCGCAGGGACTCTTGGTGTCGTTGGAAACGTCCATTCTCAATCTTCCGTGCTTGAATATCTCAGGAAGCGAGTTGAGGTATGCACGGGTGGATTGGATGGACCGGGGATCGGAGATAGCTGCAGCTCTTTAAATACTGTCCTAGGAGATTGGTCCGTCGATTTGCAGACGCGTTCGAGACTTCATATTGATGATGTGGATAAATTGCAGACGGCTTTGTCGGACATCGAAAGATCGGGGATTATTCTACAAGGAAAATGTTTGAGGGTTGAAGAGGGAAACATTATGCTTCGCGAAAGGATCAGAGTACTCATGAAGAAGATCCAGCAGGGTTCGTCACATTTAAGTCCCGTTGAAAGGGCGCGTTATACGAAGTTGAAAGAGAAGAAGCATAGACTTGCAAGTTTGAGGAACAGGATTTCGGAGCTGGAGAGTGCATCTCAAGCTCGTAAGGCGCCCGTCTGGAGGGATGGAGAGGGCGTCTTGAGCACGCCCCGACAAGGATTTCAGTCTCCCTATGGAACGTCCATCACGAGCAACAAGCTCCAGTCGCCATCTCGATCATCAACAAGATCAAAACGGTGGTCTGCAAGCCCCTCCTGGCGCAGCAAAGGGAGCCCAACAATGCAGAGGGGAGCCGAATTCTCACCCACAAGCGACCAAACAGATCTTACACGAGAGGAAGTCAAAATGATCAAGGAAACTCTGGAGAAACACAGCAAGGATATAGGAGATGCCATGGATCTGAGTACCAAACTCTGGCAGCGCCTATCTGTGCAGTGATTCTATGTCTTTGCTTTCTTGCTGATAAGGATGGAGGCACTTTCAGAGACGAGTTTGTCTTCATGGCGCGTTGTTCCCGGCACCAAATAGAATTGCCTCCATGCACAGCACTCTGCATGTGACCGTCTTGGCGTACTTTAGTCTGCCTGGTGTCGGAGATACTCATGCACGAGGCCGAGCAGAATGAGTACCGCTGCATCTGTTCGCAGAATGCGATCTCCTAACGTAACAGGTTCAAACCCGTGATCCTGCGTAAGCATGGCCACTTCTCTCGGCATCCACCCACCTTCTGGACCCACAGCCAATACAACATGCGAAGTCGGACCAGCCAAGTTGGAATCTTGTGCTCCGCAGCCCTGGAATATTGATGATGGTGATCCCGGCTCGGCTATCAAGAGACAAGAACCTGGCTTAGAAACTTGCTGCAATCGATCCTCAAGAAAAATGCGCAGTCGACGTTCTATTGTCACGCATGGTAGCTGGCAGTCAATGCCGGATTGAGCAACTCCCTCGAGAAGTAGAGTTCTGACCTCTTCCGGTCTTCTCAGCAGAGTTGAATCAAAATAGCACCTTTCCACCTTTGATTCGAGGCGACATCGCGATTGCACGACAGGCACGCAATTTGTAAAGGTTAGACTAACTTTTGTACAGCCAATGTGAAGAGCTCAATAGCAAATGCTTACCTTGTACGCATTGCAAAGAACTAGATTTTGCACCCCTATGGCAGCAATCTGGGGCAGTAGTCTCGCCAAAACTTTCGGCCTTGGCACAGCCAGTATGAGAGAAACGGCCGGAGGCCTTGGCGGCTTCCGGCGGATGCCTTGTGAAAGATGAAACTTCACTGTGGAGTCATTCCGAATCGACACAGGAACACTGTCGACGAGGAACGAGTCAACCACACCCGTGCGAATACTTCCGCCGGAGTCTGGTATACGGAGGATATTCCGCACGTGAGTTGCGCGATGATCGGCCGCGGTGAGAATCACGTCGCCGTCGCCGTCAATTTCATTTCGCTCGAACAGCACGCGGTTTAATGCGACAGTCGTGCCGACGCCGCCGTCGCGCTGCCGGGATATTCGACGAGGGGTCTCTCTTCTGCGACGCGGGATGTTCGGGAGACCGTTGGCGCACGCCAGGAGAAAGCCGAGTGCCATACCGGTGCGCTACTGTCCTCTCTTGTGATCGCAGTTCATGAGGTACAACGGTGGATTAATGCAGGCGTGGCCAACTGAAGGGAGATCTCTTCTCACGATTTTCGAAGGTATTTTATGGGTAACTCCGCGTGCAGATATCTATTCTGTCACTCAAGCTGGATCCAGATTCATTTTGAGTCCTCACATCGCAGCTTCGTTTGAGTATTGAAGCGCTAGCTTCAATAGACTACGAGCCTCTACCGTATTTCGGAACCAAGTCAAGCGGTCCGTCGCAGGACTTGTTCCGGTGTTGCACTACCACCTCGTCAATCCTACCATGTTCCACTCGCACACAGCGCCTCCTAATCCCTTACATAGCGATCAGTGCCTCAACCACTTTGGGCGCATCAAACGAAAACTTCCTCATGGGATCTGTCCTCTGATGCATGTCCATCTTCTTCTGCTTATCCGCCTTACTCCTCTGCCTCCTGGCCATCCTGGCCATCTCGTCATACCTAACTTGGGCTTTCCTGGGCCCATCCTCATCATCTCTGTAAACCATGACATATTCTGTACTCTTCTCCCTCACCGTCTCCCATGCCTTGCGATCCGCATCAAACAAGTATCCCCTCAGCAGCTCTTCCAGAAACAGCAAATGTTCAACATCTATCCTCGCATATTGCATTGCCTTCTCCCCCAGCGGCCTCCTCTGCCAAAGCTCCTTATCGCCTGACATCTGATCTCTAACTGCAACCTTCACGACCAAATCCTCCTCACTCGCGCCCGTGAATTTCTTCAGTAAAGTCCGCATACTGACTGGTAAACCCTCCTCCATCCCACGCGCCTTCCGCAATTCTGAAAACACAACCTGCGTATCAACCACCGGCCCCAGCCTGACGCCAAATTGATGAAACAGTGCATCCGAATCATGGCGGCAATCATGCATCACCTTCGAGACCCTATCATTCTCAAGCAACCGTCTCAAGCCTCCCTCCTCGAAAATCTGCCTCCCATGCTTCTCGTCAACAACGTCGAAAAAGAAAATCCCGTCGACGCTGGCAACTTGCACCAAGCATAACTTGCCCTTCCTGCTCAGCGCGACGCCCTCACAATCCACAGCCACGCGGTCGAACCTGGACAGCCGCGTGACTACCCTTCTGCACTCTTCCACGCTGCTGACCAACACGGTCGAGGGCAGCTTCCTGCGCCGATTGCCCCTCCCCTCGGTCCGGTTCGGCGCGGCGGAGCTGACGTTTCCACGGCGCGCGACGACTCGCGGACCCGATGTGTCCAGGCGTTCGCGGCGACGCCGCGGCCCGCGTTCGGGGGCATCCCGGGGGGGAGGCCCGCGCGCCGGCGCGAGCAGGTCGAAGCGGCTTCCCGCCATGCGACAATGTGGTACAGAGGGCGTGGCGGAAAGAGAGCGGGACGTGAAAAGCAGGTCGCGGACGGCGCCCTCCAGCTGAACCGGACAGATTGGTTCGGGCGACAGGTGTGTGGAGATGATTGGTTGTTTTTTCGCGGAGGAACTATCGCGGTACGTAATGAGTTTTAAGTGCTCACGCACTTTAATAGGCATGTTAGAGCATCACCACCGGTAGAATCAAATAACCAAATAACCAAAATTTGATGATTTGATGTGGATTCACATCCCCACCGGCCCGACCAAATCATCAAATTTTTGGTTCCGAACCAAATATCGGAACCAAATATCAAGAATTAGGTTCCGTTTCTTCGTAATTTGATACCCTGGACAATCTAGTTGTTCAAGGCTCATTGGTCACACGAAAGGGCTTCCCTCCAACCCCCAGGACGAAGCGTACTATACAGTATTTGGTTCTCACCGGTGGCACTGTTCCTTTTGAGATATCAAATTACCAAATAACCAAACCACCAAATTCCCACCAGCCAATTGAGTTCTAGAAAAAACGTGCCAAGTGTTGTTGTTTGGTCATTTGATCACCTACCGGTGGTGATGCTCTTATGATCTGAAAGAGGGATATGTGCCCATTCCTATTGTACCAAGTCTTGCTTGACTGCATCGCCTCTCTCTCTCAACAGAACTCCAGGCCGCATTCCATGTGGTTGCGAAAAGCCCGGCCTCCACGGAAAGCACTCGTCAGTCTCGATAAAATCGACCGTTGCAATTAAGCTTTCCCCCAAATGCACCAAGTGCTACAGCTCAACTCAAATTCAACATTCACTTTTTATAAATATATGTATACTGTGGCTTCCAACGAACAGCGCTATCACTAACATCACTAACATATATGTATCAGTCCAGACTTTCGGGACAAAGGAGAAGTAAAGTTTCAGAGCTCTAGCTGCCCGAAGAGATTCCAACTTTTCTTCGTATGCTCGCCTTCACAGAGCTTGAAACCTTGCCCCTCCCGTTCGCTTCGGCAATCCTGCAAAGACGTTCAGTGTAAATTTCACTGGGACTGCGCCGCGGTGCAGGCCTCGGTCTGTCCGTCTCTGGAGAATGCTCCGGCACAATCACAACCAGTTCGTCACCATCGCGGAAATGCGTAATCATCGGTCTCAGAGAGGGGGAACCATCCGACGCAAGCACTGAATCTGTACTGCCCCAGTTCCCGCGCCAGTTCCCACCCCAGTTCCCGCCCCGGTTCGCTCCCGAGCACTGGTTCAGCGATTCAAAATGTTGAACCAGACGCTTGACGCGTCCCGATGATGTTGTGTCCGAGGAATACCCGCCACAGCTCGCTCCACTCCGTCTTATTCGAGTGTCGGATTCTTTTGATGAATCCGAGTTTGCAGTTGGCCGTTTGGCAAACGATCTCGACGTGACGGAATCCGAGTTTATGGTTGATGACTCGAACTCCTGGCTCCGGGCGTGGGCTTTGGTTTCCCTGTGCCGGAAACAGTTGAGGAAAGGAGCGGCGGCGGTTTCCAATTTCGCAGCCGTGTTCTTGAGCTTTCGCGAGAGAGCGGCGATGGTGAACATTTTGTGAAAGGGTTGTGTGGATGGATTGAGGGAAAAGGAGATGTTTCGGGATGGTGGAGCTTGGAACTGGTAGGAGGGGGGATGAGTGTTTGTGTGCTCCTGCCTTCCTGATGGCGATGGACCTCGGGCTTTGTTTAGATATTGCAGATGCGAGGGAGACATTCAGGGGAGGTTGTGGGTATTGTCAATATTCTCTCTTCAATGGATCTCTCTTCAATGAATCTCTCTTCAATTGATGTAGAAGATGTTGAAAGGTGACGCAATAGTCTGACATGCATTCAGGGGCAGTCGAAAGGAGATCGATACGCGGAATAGAGAGTGCTCTGGGGCTGCGGAAATATTGTTGTTCTGACCGAATCTACTAGAGAGCGTTGTATTCTGCTTTGCAAAACCGAGAGAAAATTATTTGATAGTCAACAGTCATGGATGCGTTTTCGAATGTGGAAAGGGAGTTTCAAATGTTTTCAATACTGCCGGTGCAGAAGTGATGCGGGAGTGTGTCAGCATTCCAGCTGAAACAGCGCAGTTGCAATGAAGCATAGCAGAAGCTGTAGCCTTTCGATATAGATTTTGCATCATGGACTGCGGGGATTGGAAAATGGCTGTTTTAGAACTTTACTCTTTGTTGAGATCTTCGGAGAGTGATCTGATGGGAACGATGCTCTATATTTCAATAGTAGTGTGTGGTTTCGCTATAGCTGCAAAGGCGATCTCGGATGGGATACTGTTTGTGTATGCAGTGAATGCTATATAGGTGCGTGAGAAACAAGTTGGTGTACTATTCATGCTGTCAAGGCTGGGCGCGAGAGAGAAAGTAAAATCAGCAATCATATCAGACTCGTTTGATTCAACGCGACACAAAAATATACGGATCGAGTACAAGTTTGATGGGATCATCAGCATTGCCACTAACGGAAGAAGCTTTCAATATTTTGTTTCTGAATTCGGTGCATGTATCGAAAAAAACGCTACATGCTGCAACGTATCCTGGAAAAAGGGAGTGATGAGGAGCGGTGGAGCGATGGGCAAGAATATCTAAGAATCCGTAAAAGCACAAGGCTTGTGCGTTCAAGAATGCTTGCGTCGCCTCGTTCCAGTGTGTTTAAACAGGAAACCTTCCTTTGCATCTGGGGGTTAATCTGTGAAGGGTAGGGATTGTACTTGAGAAAACAAAAGGATAGCTGGATTAACCACCGTAAAGAGATGAACAACTTGAATGAATGAAAATTTTCCAATTGAGTCAAAGGAGAGTTTGTTGCTCTCCGTTGTAGATTTTGTACCAGAAACTGTGGGGAGTGGAAAATATTTGTCTCTATGTGCTCCTCTTCAGTTTGTTGATGTCTACGGACAGTAGTCTATCTGTAGGAGAAAAGACACTCAACTTTTCAATTTTAGTGCGCGGTTTCTCTGAGCTGCTGAGGCGATCTCAGATGTGACATTGTCATTTATGCAGTGAATGCGGTTTAGGTTTGTGAGAATCAAGTTAGGAGGCGTGCTGTCAACGCGGGAGCGGTGAGCAATCTTTTTATGACAAGAAATTAGCAATCGTGCAAGCCTGGTTCGGTCCGATGCCGTTCAATGGTTTGAGAAGAGTATAATTAGCATTAAGGGAAGAAGAAGAAGGGCTTTATAAGGGTGTCTGTGGTCTTGTTCCAGGTATCCAACATAAGTTGTTTATATTGCATACGGTACTGTAGTTTCAAGCGGGCCGCTCTCTCCTTGCCACATCTACGAAGAGCACGAAAGGTGAAGCATTCGGGAAGATAAAGCATTCGGGAAGATATAGCAAGGACCGCACAAGAATTTTACCAAACCTCATCGTATGCGGTCCCCTGGACATGAAGCACCGAAATGTACACAACGGCACAGTGGACCCTGTATGGCACGATGACATCAGTACTGGACCCATCCGAGCACGTGTCCAGGCACGCGCAGCAGCTTGCGTGGTACCAAGGGTACAGTACAATTGTACCGTTACCCTTCGAAGGGTATATTTCAAAAGATCCGCGCAAGCCCCAGCGGCCCAATTTCGGTTTCCCTCCATTTCACCCGAGAATTCAACTGGTCCCTTGGGTAAACGCTGTCCATGTCCACGTGTGCTACGAATATCCCGCAGCCGCACCATTCCTCCACAGCTCGCGCCATGCCTGATCATGTGATATGATTGTGCCAGGCATTTCTCTCTCCACTCCCTCGCCAACGGCCGAGGCGCAGCGCATAGCCAATGCGTCGCGTGCCCGCCACGGCCGCACGGTGGCGTGGAGGATCGCGTCCAGTGGAACCGCGATCGCTGTCACAACTCGGACGCCGCCCCCCGTTGCAGCGTGGCCGACGGCGTCGCGGCCGTCACTGTGGCGGGGAGAGAGGGGATCGCGCAGCGCGGAGGAACACCATCAAAACCCCGGAACGGGAGGGGAAGGCTGCCTGTTTACCATACAATACCGCGGCACGCGGCAATTAAAAAAGCATTACCAAATGCAAGATCGCGGCGCGGCGCCCAGCGCGGCGCCCAGCGCGGCGCGGCCGTGAACGGCGTGCGCGCCAGCGAAAGGCGGTGCGAAGTACGGCGGCGGGCGCGGTACGCCGGCGTTGGTGGCGGCTGCAGCCGGGCCACGAATGCGGTGGGGGGCTGGGGGCGATGCGAGCGGCGATCGGAGGAGTGCGTGCGAGGCGGCGGCAGCGAGGATCGGAAGAAGCAGGTGGGCAGGCGGCCAGCGTTATGTGGTGGTCAAGTTGGTGGCATAGGGTGTGCGCGGGGGGTCGGCGAGTCGGACGGGGGCGGGATCGAGGGAGAGCGAGGAGATGGGCGGGAGAGCGGGCTGTTGGGGCCGACGTCGAGGACCTCGACGCTGGCGCCGTCATCTGTGTGTACGCGGCCGGCGGAGGCGAGGAGCGGGCGGGCGGCGGGGTGTTGCGGGGCGGGGGCGTCCGGGAGCGGGGCGCGGGCGTACGCGGCGGCGACGGGGGCCGCGTGCGGGGCGAGGGCGATGTAGGCGCTGCGCTTGTGCACGTGGGCCGAGGCGAGCAGGGCCAAGGCGACGAGGGCGACGAAGGCGAAGAGGAGCGGGAGCCAGTCGTGGACGAAGCCGCGGTCCGAGACGCAGGCGTGCGTGAAGAAGGACGGGGCGGGGCAGGGCGGGGCGTGGGCGCGGCAGAGCACGGGGCCGCACAGGGTGTGGTCGCGCGAGGAGAGGACGGTGTCGCACGTGTGGCCGTACGGCAGCGGGACCGAGGTGAGGTTGGCGGAGCAGACGGTGCGGAGCGAGGGCGTGTGGTGGCAGCAGCGGCACTCGCAGTGCGCGAGCGGGGCCGTGGCGAGGGAGAGGCACGGGAGGAGGAGGGGGAGGAGGAGGAGGAGGCGGAGAAAGAGGCGGGACATGGCGGGGAGGTGGCGGGAGGGAGGCGGGAGGGAGGCGGGAGGGAGGAAGCGCGGGGGGGAGGGAGGGAGGGGAGATGGGAGGTGGATTCTTAAATTGGGCGGGGGGGGCGGTGACACGTGGGCTTGAGGTCACGTGGGTGTCTGTGGATGATGCGTACGAAATTAAGCAAGTCAATTTTGAAGTCAACTAAATTCAACGGACCTTCGATCTGCCACCCAGTATCTGACACGTGTA